TCCATGAATTGGCGGGCATGACATGTGAAAGGTCGGGCGCCGAGACTTCAGGATTCTCAGCATGAGGCTCTTCGCTGACTCTGCTGGTGGAGTCACTCTTTGGGACTTGCATGTCAAGTGTCCCCAACATGGTTCCAGGGTCTTCCACTGCTGCTTTTCCTACACCTGGGACCTCTGTGGCTTCTCCTTGTCTACCAAAGACACATACCATGACATGAGACGGCATAGATGCTCTCCTTTTCTGATGACTGTTGGGCATGGACTGGAGGTCTTCAATTCCAAGGTCAAACACTTCATATGACAGTCGGCTCAAGATTACCGTTCTTCTGTGAGGCAAATTATCTGGGTGGACCATGTATTTCTCTCGGCCTTTGCATGCCATGACTGATTGGACCTGCATTCCTGGGCAAAGACTTTGGAGAACCTGAACTTCCGCATTATGAGGACCGTCCCATTTGGTTACCCCCGATTTAGGTAATTCCTTCCGATATTTATCCATTATCCCTTTCCATCTTATGTCATCGATTTTCTTTGGTGGTTCTTCTTCATGAGTTCTTTTCCGGCTTGACCTCTTTGTCGTTTCACCTTCGTCGACTCTGGAACGTTTTGTCTTGCCCTCCAGCGAACTTCCGGAATCTTCCAGTTTCCGGACGGGAAAACATTCTTGCTGAACGACCATTGTCGGAACGGTTACATGTTCATGCACTGGTCGCATGATCACCTCGGCAATCTTCCTTGCAAGAACTCTGGGATAGAAGGCTGAAAAACGGGACACCTGTACAAGTTTTCCATTAACATGGCATGTTCCAGCAACATGGGCATGAGCATGATCTTTTTGACACAGTCGGTTATCCAGGCTTCTAAACATTTCCTCGGAGGAGGTTTGAACACGGGTGCTCTTTTGCATTGGTTCTTGCAACGACGGATGCCTCAAACCGAACTGGCACTGATCGAAGAAGGCTGGCTTGGTGCGGCCATATACCTCTTGCATTTCTTCCTGTTGCCACATTCCGGAAGGTTTGGGATTTTCCAGGTGAAAATGGTCACCACGATCCAGTTGTATCTTGCAAATTAGATCACACATATGAAGCTGGTCTTTGGAAGCAGCTTGATTCTCACGGATGCGGCTGTAGGATTCCATGCTTTTGGTCTGGTTCAGTCGATTCCAAGGGCTCCACGGGCCACACTCTGGAGCAAGCCATATGTGTCGTGGCTTCCACAAAAAGATCTTTCGGAACAACTTGATCTGTCCTTGCGTGGTACTCAAGTCCCCATCTTCAAAGGTAAATCTTTTGGCTACCCCACCCCTCTTATTGACTTCCTCTGTCAATCGGCTACTGTTGCTGGCATAGACTTCAAGGAGATCTATGGGTTTATGACTATGAATTGGCATGTGGTGTCGGCATTGATTCATCATGTGCAATTCATAGGCATTCTCCAAGAGCATTGGCTGGCCTGGATTCACTGATTTTACTGCCGGCCTCTCAGTGCATGCTTCTCCATGTCGCTTCGGGCTTGGCAGTAGGTGATGAAGTCTTGCATGGCCGGAGTCGCGTTCTTGGCTCGTGCACTGATCCAGTCGACATAGCTTTGATGTTCTTCGTACACTTCGGTGAATCGTCTCCCACTGTGGGTTTTCCCCCAAGACACTCTCTTGTTGCCCCAAGACTCCAAGGCCTGAGCAGTCAGCGCGAGTTGACTTTCTCGGTTGTTCTCTGGAATCAGGTTCTGGTTCAGGTGGCTCATAGTTGAGGCTCCCTGGGACCTCGGCTGGCTCTTCTTGGGTGGGGTCCTCGTTGCAGCTCTGATTTCCTCTTCCTCCTCCAGCTCCCATGAATGGTCCGATAGGACTCCAACTTCTGAAGGACTGGGTCCAACGCGACTTGAAGACCTCTTCGGGGATCTGGTTTCTTTGAGGATCTGAGAGAGTTCCTCGATCCGATCCTTCTGAGCATTCACATTGGCCAGGCGAGATTGGAGTGAGGTCGCGTGCTGCACTGTGATCTCCTGGTCTGGGGCTTTCACCTCGATTTGGTTCATCAAGATGATCAGGAGCATTCTGAGGGATTCCATCACCGCTTCGGCCGTCGATTTGATCAGCTTCATGGCATCTCTCTGAGTCAGCATTCTGCACAGACTCACTAGGGACAAGACCCGGCGGGGGCAGGACGTTGGACACTCGAACGGCTGCTGTCTCTTTGACTGACATGGCGTTTTCCGTGGCACCTAGACACAGCTCTGACATCTTGAAAACATATAGTCCGTTCTCACTTTCTCTCAAGTTCAACCATCTTTGGATTTTTGACAGATAACACTGGTTCGTGGATAAATCTATCATGGCTCCTAGTGCTTTCATGGCTTGAATGGATATGAGAAAAGGTGTTGCCCGAGGAACAATTTCGACCACCATCCAGATTCTGCTACGGCCGGCAATGATTGGGATTCGAACTTGTTTGAAACTGTAGGTTATCTGATTATTCCCAAATCTGAATCCTACTTTGCTGGGGTGTTCTTGTACTCTGGATTGTACTTCTCTCGGCAAACTTTTCAGCACACCCGGCCACAAGTCAGCTCCTATGACACTCCGGCTGGCTCCGGTGTCCAGTATTGCTAAGCCATCTTCTGCAATGGCTCCCAAGCTCGGTTGGCTATGGAAGCACTCGGATGCTTCATGTTCAGGCACTGGCTGCTTCGTCCTGGGATTCAAACGGCTGTGAAAAAAATGTTTGACCTGGGGAACTAGATGATGCAGGCTGAAGGCAACTTCATTGGGAATTCCGCTTTCACATTCCGGGTGTTCACTGTGGCTCTTGGTGGCTGGCTGCTCACGGATGCATTTGTTCACACAGCATCGGATGCTGTGACATGTTTTGGACATGAATTTGATTATACCCCATTTATTATCCTTAGCCCCATTACCCCTTTTATTATTCCCCATGGCTGACATCTTCCCGGCCTCTTCTGTTTCCTCGAAAATCACATGGGCTGGTTCTTCATCATCACGGGCATAGGCTCGAAAGCTCTGGTGGGTCACATAGTTTGCTTGGTCAGTCGCGGCAGGAGGCTTGTTCGGGCACTCTGCTTTCCAGTGACCTTTTTCTCCGCATGCTCGACAAAATGTCCTTGAGATGCGCTGCAACAGGCTTCCTTTGCCTGACCCTTTTCGGAACTGCGAAAACTTCCCAGCACCCTTTGATTTTCCCTTTCCAGTGGCAGGCCAGAATCCTCGTGATCGCTTTCTCTCCAGGATCTTTGTTCGCGCCTCTTGGTAACTCAGCAAAGCGTTGTGGAGGTCTGGGACTTCTTGAAACATCTCTTCTAGGTCACGTTCAAAACTCATCACATTCAAGGCGTCTGAGTCGCCCTGAGAGGCTAGGTGGTCCACAAACTCCTGGTCAAGCTCTTCCTCTTCGTGGCTGTTGTACTGGCTCACATTTCCAGCTGAAAAGGCTTCTTGTTCATTGTTCACCAGGTTCTGCTCCGGTTCCACATAGTTGGTCGGATAGACCTTCCTTTTGATTTCACCTGATGACAAAATTGATGTTGCCAGGGTTCTCATAGATTGTTCGATCTTCTTCGTGTCCATGTCTCCATTGGTCATTGTCAGGACACGTTTCTTGTCCTCGGGAATCAATGAACTCTGTCGGAGGAGTAGAAAGGCATGGAACTCCTTGATGCTCTTTGCGCCCAGCTCGTCCATGGCAACCTGCAAGCGGTTCACGAAACTCATGCTGGACTCATCGCTCTTTTGAACTGTCTTGTAGACAGCTTTCTCGAATTGTTCATACGTCTTCATTTCGGTGGACTCTTCCCAAGTTGACAGCGCCGCCAACAAGTTCTTGACACCGTTGTCGGGATCAACCAACTGAGCAGAGTCGAGGTTCTTAACTTGTCCCCAAGCCGTTCCCCGACACAGCATGGCCAGCCGTGGAGCTAGCATTGGTCGATCTTTCTTTGGGCAGATTGTATCTATGAACTTCACCTTCTCTATGTACTCTTTGACATTGTCCACTGCAGGGTCAAACGTCGGCAGCAAGGTCCAGATGTGAGAACCTTTGTCCTCAGAGATCTCTGCAGTGGACGACATGGCAGGCGCCCCGGGCTTACCACGAAGTCACGTGGGCCCTCCGGGCTCCGCTACCAATGTGGCTCCCCGGGTAAGAGTCCACAAGGGTAGGGAAACCGGTACCAACCAATTTCTTGGATTAGGGGTCCTACCCCAAAAAAGGAAATCCCCTTACAGGGCTCTTCACCGTGACCCCCTGGGTCCAATATGAACTTGTTACACTTCTCGATACCTGGCTGCCCACAGCAGCAGCGTCCTCGCTTTTGCACCTCCGTGCCTTGAGCCATGCGCAGTGGCGATGGCGAAGTCTGTGATTTCCCCAGGCAGCCTGCAGTTGGCGTATGGTTCGTACATCCAAGGTTGTTCAATTCACATGCATGTATGTATATATATATATGTGTGTGTGTGTGTGCGTGTTAATATGACTATGAATTATAGTATCAGTATTATAAATAATGCGTCAGTATAGTACAGCACACATTAATACACTAGCAATTCTGCAGCGCTAAGGATGTGGGGTGAAACATCCATGGATTCCGACAGGCCAAACATGGACCAAGAGACAGCCAAGACACATTCCCTATTATTTCATGATGCGTGTCAATGAAAAAAATAACACGATTTCATATGTGTCATGTAACATATTGCATCCACATTTTGGGTAATGCTCAAGGATATTCAATGTAATTATTAGCACATTATAGTGCAGGAATCATGTGGGAACGTGAACAATTATATAATTGATGGTGGACAGTAGAAAATGTAGAAATCAATGAAGAAACTGAATCCGTACATTTCAAGTGCCATCGCCAGGACAAAAACTTGGCGGAAATCCCCTTGGGGAAATCCTTATGCAATGGTCTGATTCTGAGCCAGGCTTGCTCACATCCCAACATATCCCATTTAATTATAGCCTCTAACGCTACCCACAGTCCTTGGGATCTAGCCTGCATGCTTCTAAAGCCCTTCGCTGGCATAAAGTCTCTGCTTGGTCAATGAACTCGTTACCACCATAGTATCGGGCTCCTGGTGGTGATGCGGTACCTGCCCAAAAAACACCCGTGTCACATGTCTGTACTTTTACAAAATGCAGAAAAAAACTCATGAAAAAAAAACATGCATGATTACTTCCTATTCTTTCAAAAACATATCAGTCATCCATCATCCATCATTTAAATCGTTTAAAATCTAGTACAAGTAAAATCAAGTAAACAGTAAACACATTAAACACTTCTTGCAGCTTAAAACCCCAGAAAACCATAGAAAACCGCCCCCGTCCTGGATATCCCTCGGAATATTTGTTGACCATCACTGAGCCCACCGCCTCGAGCACCGGCACCGGTGCAAAGTTCTCGGAGGCGATGAGGTTCACACAACGGCGTTGCCTGACGGTTGACATCAACATCCAACAAACAAAAACAACAGAAATACATAGAAATACTGGTTATTTTTTGGATTCAACTGATTTCAACTGTTTGTTGACTGTTTTTTTACTGAGATAGTTGAGATGCTGCATTTGATGCGTTTTGGGGTGAGGTTCACCAAGGTTGAAGCGTAGAGCAAAGACACCCAAACTGCAGGACTTCTTTCATTGTTTCCCTGTCTATTTTTTTGGGTGGGTTGTTTTGAATCACCGAATAACCCTGTCAAAATCTGCCAGTCCAATCCCGCTGCGGACCATTCTTCTGCTCAGCCACCTATCCTTCTCAGCTTCGATGATGTTGTAGATTTCGGGGTCCATCTCCTGATGGACACATCACACCGTGGAATCTGGAGGAAGCATCAAACACACTGCGAACCAATTCGTTTGGGGATGACCATGCATCCGTTTAGTGAGTTGTTGCCGGTCATGCTCTGTCATGGTGGCTGTGGCTGTGGCTGTGGCTGTGGTTGTGGTTGTGGTCGTGGTCGTGGTCGTGGTCGTGGTCGTGGTTGTGGTTGTGGTTGTTGTTGTTGTTGTTGTTGTTGTTGTTGTTGTTGTTGTCGTTGTCATTGTAGTAACTATATGTATAAATGACATGTGATTGATATGTGCACCTGCATCCAAATTTTCAAGAGAAACATAAAAAATGTTAACATATTGTCCACCCATTGCCATGGGGACCCCGGGTCTCCTTCAATGGCGTGTTCAGCCTCATGGCTTCCACCGTGATGCCCCGCACAAAACTGCGGACGCCGCGGCTGCGGACGGTGCGCATGGCACGGACCGCCATTGCGACGCGCCACGGGTTGCCACGTTGCCACTGGGGTTGGCTTCTCTTGGGCCCAACTCCAGGAAAAGAAAAGCAAAAATGAATGAACATCTTGGCACAACAATCGTAATTCGATAATATTATACAGATATGTATATATATATATATGATATATATGATATATATTATATATAAAAATGTGTATATATAATCATACATGGATATACATTGCAGGATGTAGTACAATCATGACGTGAGCTGCAACCGGAGTCAACGTGGTCACTGGTACTTGGCCGACCTGTGCCACCTGCGGCGCAGTGCTCGACGCCTGGTTTGAAGACTTCCGTCGCACATGGCATCTGAATTCATCCCAAATGTCCGAAATTGTTTACGGTAATCAAACAATAGATAGAAAAATAATTTGCACATTATTATGTCATTATTATATATTATTATCATCATCATTATATCACTACAGTTCAGTAAGATTTGACATGTCTATCTATATGCGAAGGGTTGCTATACAGCTACAGCCTATAGCGCAACCAAAGTGGTCCCCATCTTCGGCCTTCTTCCGTCGTGCCATGCCGCAGCAGCGACAGAAGCTGCCGCTTTCTGCGAAGGGAGTGTCACCTGCGGGGTCTCTTGCCGCGTGGCGATGAGTACACTGAATAGTGTCTAGCAGCAGTTAGGAAGATCACATAATATCACTATAGTGAATGTATAATAATGTAAACATTCCATTGTGGTTTCATTATTGGTTATTGCATGTTATTGCTATTCAAGTATCACTATTCTTGATAATTAAACGCAAAACTATTCAGTGAATCATGTGTATAGGAGTTGCAAATAGCCAAAGGAAGTTTAGAAGTCAAACTTCCGCCAATATGGACAGATGGAAAAGCAGAGGTGGGAAGAGTCAGAGAAGAGGAGAGAAAAAGAGAGAAGATCAGAGAAGAGAAGGAGTCATAAGAAAGAAGATGGAGGTGCGCGAAAAGGTAGGAAAGCCGCGAAACACTGCGTTTTTCCAATGATTTGTGGCTCCGGAGGGTCGAAAGGTAGGCTCGCTAAAGCGGCGGGTGCGGAGCCGTCTTGTTGTCAAATTCAAAATCTGAGGAAGTCTCACAGAATAGCTTCGTTTTCAAGCCTGCAGATTGCAGATAGGCAGATAGATAGATAGACAACTACTGATAAGACTACCACTACACTACACTACACTACACTACACTACACTAATTATACTGCAGTAATTACACTACACTACACTACGCTACACTAATTACACTACAACTACAAAAACTACTTCTACCACAAATACAACTACAACTACACCACATTACACTACACTGCGCTAATTACACTGCAGCACACTACAACTACAAATACAAATGCAACTACAACTACACGACATTACGCACCACTAATTACACTTCACCACTCCAATTACAGCACACCACGCTAATTAGACTGCAGCAGCAACAACAACAACAACTACTACTACTGCTACTACCACTACTGCCATTCACTGCTGCTGCTGCTACTACTACTACTACCACCACTATTACTACTACTACTTCTTCTTCTACTACTTCTATTACTACTACTATTGCTATTACTACTACTACTACTAGTATTAGTACTACTACTACTACTACTACTTCTACTTCTACTACTACTACTACCACCTCCTCCTCCTGCCCTGCTAACACTCCTACTCCTACTCCTACTCCTTCTCCGACTCCTCTTCCTACTCCTCCATCTACAGCTACAACTACAACTATAACTGCAACTACAACTACACTACATTACATTACACTACACTACAAGGACAACTACAACTACATTACACGACACTACAGAAAACTAATTACACTACACTACACTACAACTATAACTACAACTACAACTACACTACTACAACTACATTGCGCTAATTGCACTACACCAATTACACTCCACCACTGGGCTCCACCACACCACACTACATTACACTAACTACAGCTACGACTACAGCTACAGCTATGCTACTTGACACTACACTACACTAGGCTACACTACAGCATACTACACGGTACACAACACTACCCTACACTGCATTACACTACATTACATTACATCAATTACACAACACCACAACTACTGCAACTGCACCTGCACTACACTAATTAGTTACACTACACTACAGCTACAACTCCACGACAACTACAACAACAACTAGAACTACAACTGCATTACGCCACACTTCATCCAGTGCCAGGAGTTGCGGGTGAGGTGACCACTGCAACCACCGCAACCACCCCAAAAAACACAACTCCAACCACCTTTCAGTCCATCAGTGGATTCGCTCTGCCATCCATGCATCACAACAACTCACTTCTCCTTAGGTTTCCTATTTTTGAAACTTCCGCCACTGCCTTGAGCGTTGCTACTGGTAGTTATGAATAGTTTTGGTGACAAAATATCACAGTAGTACTCTGAATATGTTTTATTGGTTCAAAGGTTTACTAGTACCCTGAGTCTACCAACTGTTGAAGTTTCGCATAGCAAATCAGAAGAAATGCCTCGAACTTCCTGCGGCCAAGTCTCAGTTCGGACAACAATTTCCATCAGGCACTGCCTGCGGCACCTGCCAACATCTGAGGGCCGCTTGGACCCAGAAAGTTCATGCAGGAATTTTGAAGCCATCCTACTTCCGCGTGAGCCATAAACAGAACCCCCAGGACAAATACCAGATGTCGAAATGTCGTGGGATTTTTCTCTTCTCATGTTCTCCATCTTTTTTCTGTACACCCCAAAAAAAAGGGATAAGAAAAGCTATGCGCCGCACTGCCGTCATTGAACAATATTGAAAGCGAAGTGCCCATCTGTTTTTAGAGTACAGGTCACAGTTCCTGCGGAGCTGGCACCGGAGGACGGACATCCGCAGCCTGGATCTGACGAGCCTGCAATGGTGGTTGCAAACCGGGTCCGGATGGGAAAAGTGGTGAATTTGGACCATCATCTCTATGGCTGAAAAGGGACACCATTTCAAACCACCAATCAGTGATGGTATATTTGGTATATTATATAAAATTATATATATATATACATATAGTATATAATCCACCATGCAACATTCACATGGCCTCTGCAGGATCAATCTCCATCTGCTTGTCATCGGCCTTGGCCCAAATGAATCACGAAATAAGAATCGCCAAAGGGCACCAATATATGCATATATACATAAATATATATATATAAACAGTAATGCCTATTAGTCTAGGGCCATATAGGGCCTATAGGTCATAGTTCTCAGTTGGCATATAAGCAGTATCACAAATCATTAACGTAGTCAGCATATTTACTTATGTCATGCATTGAAATGGTTTGAACCAACAATAACTACATTACGTACATCAAATACCACGAAGGCACACTAACTCTAAGTGTGACTATAGTCACTAGTTATAGTCATGAAGCTGAAGCGCCGAGTGAAATTCCTAGAAAACTGGTGAAAACCACAAAAAAAATATCATCGTCCCATGTTATGCCATGCTTAAAACCATGGATTTCTTCATGTTTCATCAGTTTCATCCAAGTTGTCGACCAAGCCATTGGATTCTCGATCCGGCACCGGCGCCTTGGGCACCTGCTACTGGACAATTTCAAAACGATGGTTGGATGATACTAATGACAATAATAATTGGATCGATGATCAGATGATAAAACTATACGCATGGATGATACAACTAGAATAATGACTAATAAAACTATATAATATAACTATAACTATAATTATAATATATCATTGAGATATGGACTGGATCTGAGTTGTGATTCTGGGCGAAATGTCGTGAGATTCACCGTGGGATGTCGTGGGAGATGTCTTGGACAATTCCCAGCCTGCAACTTTTCAGGTGTCTCTACCTGGGCATCAGCGTTCTGGCTCTTGGGCGGAGTCGATGGACCTTAGCATCCATCATCACCCGGCTGGTACCCATGCTGCAGCCATGTCTGTTTGTGATATGACTTTTGGAGGAAACGAGGGGCAAACTAAAGAGTATCAAACCACCGATGAGACAAGTATACATTTCATTGCATATCATATCAAATACTATAATTCTATGGGCAATATAGAATATCCTTATACATATAACTATATTCTGTTGCCTGCATCATGCCCCAGAGTCCCAGTCCTGCACTAAAATTGGTCTGGCTTTGTCCAAAAATGGGTGGGAACGCAATGCCTAAAAAAAACCTTGGATCTTGGGGCTATCCTATTTTATCTGTTAAGAACAAACACACAGCAAAACATCTGAGTATGTACTTTGTTCTGGCAAGGCACCATTCTCCAGCAGCTGCGCTTTGGCCTTGTTGACCAGACCCTCGCATTCTTTCAATGTATGCCTCGGATGAGCTCTATCCCCTGGACCAGCAGGCGGCTTCATCCCAATCATAGTTGTCAATTCCGTTTGTGATCTTAGATAATCATGGTTGAAATCTGTGTGTTCAGCAAACGCCACACAATGCCACGGGACCATAACCAAAATGTAGGTTCTCTTCCCCCATCTGAAGTTTGACTCAGGGATGTCCATCTTCGCCAAAGGCCAGTAACCGCACATCTGACCAAGTCGCAGCAAGCAATGGCCATCCAGTTTTAATGCTTCCTCAGGCCAAACTGCAACCTATATCCACATACGGATTTGTGGCAATATACCATATAGATCAATATGTGATCTTTCTCTCTCTCTCTCTCTCACTCACTCACTCACTCTCTCTCTCTCTCTCTCTCTCTCTCTCTCTCCGTCTCTTGGTTGATATATCTCTACTAATCAATCGATCAATGAAATATGTACTGCAATCAATTGTATAAACATAGTTAGACTATGATATGTTAATATATATATATATATATTTGTACAACTCTTGCACACACACACATACATATATATATTATATATATTCTATATATAATATTACATAATTCTAATCATTCTATATCAAAAATGGTTCAGATATAGCCTATCCCCCGTCATCTCTTCCAGGCCACGATCTCAGGCCGCGAAGCCAAATTCCGCAGGGCAGTTCGCAAGCCGCAGCTGTCAGCCGCCATCAGCACCTGCGCCGCCGTGCGCCATGGTGCCATGGCGCCGTGGGGATGGACATCGATCACCATGGGGAGTCCGATCCAACGTGATTTCTTTGGAAAAAAATGGTGATCTATGGTGGAAAGTTACTATGGGAATCTGGTGGGAAAAAATGAATTCAATATCATCCAAATTCATCCAAGGTCTTTTTTGCATTTTCTTGCCAACATTGAATCCTTCTTGGGTGTGAAAATTGTGAATCGAACATGGCTAGCGGCTAGGAAATCCACCAGTACCGGAGGGTAATCATTGAAATCTTACGGCTTCAACCAATCATTTTATGGTGATATAGACATGTTGAAATGTATTATACAAATGGGATGCATAATGTTACATAACAAACGTACAATTCAATGATTCAATGATACTTGGGGGATTCAATTGGGGGGGTTCTGTGGGATACGAATCTATCACCAATGTTGGATTGGCTGGCACAAATGTAAAACATGATGGTATTTGTGATAAAGAAACTATATCATAACCAACCATTCTATGGGTATATAGTGTATAACCAAGCTACAATGATACTTGGGCATGTCTGAGAATGGAGAATTAACCCTAATATAACTAATATACCCTAATGTATTTTGGGGTACCTTATTTCGAAAGTGGACGTAAGATGATTGAAAAGAAACACACAGCGGATCTTAAAGAGTGAGGATGAAATGGAGTCAGCATATTAGAGACAAGAGAGATTGATCATAATTATTCGAGGATATCAACTGATAACATATTCGATCCTAGCAACAGGCTATGTAAATCCATATAGATCGAGAAAAAACTAAATAAATAAAAAGATAGATAGTAGTAGATAGAAAGAAAGAAAGAAAGAAAGAAAGAAAGAAAGAAAGATAGATAGATAGATAGAATATGATAGAATGATAGAATATGATAGAATGATTGATAGATAGATAGATAGATAGATAGACCATTAGAAAAAAAAAACATGAACAAGCATATTCATTGATGATTAGGTTTTCTCATGAACCACCATCTTAAATTGGATGATTTATCATTATAAATATAAATATATATATATATATATATAAAGCTTGTCTGAGATAGATATAATATGTATATATATATAAATATATATATATACCACTGAATTGTCCCGGAAAATAGCACCCTGTATGTGGGCCCCAACTGGTAAACACCTGCTCGCTGATGCCGTGTGCTGCGGGTGCTGCTGCTGCTGCTGCTGCAGCTGGGGACTCCTCAAAGGAAAGCCCGGGACTGAAACAACTCTAGGATATATATATATATATATATTAATACATATATATATATAATTCACCCATACAAGTAATTAACTGTATATGTCAGTTCTTTTTGGGGTAAGTATGGGCCAACTATCGTAGTAATTGAAACAACGAAACATAGTTGGAGATGAAATATGATGAAATGAAATAGTTACGTAAGTAAGACTCCTAGATGCCTCGGAAATGCTGAGCTGTGGAACTGAGATCCTCTGCCAACTGCATCCGAGGTTCTGGAGATGCGTCAGCGGAGCTCACAGGCTGAAGCACCTTGGCTTTTGGTGTCTTGGCTTTGGCTTTGGCTTTGGCACTTGCCTTGGCTTCTCCTTTTGCTGGGGACTGCGGCTTTTCCTCCGAGGTGGTCTTTCCTGTTCCCTTTGCTTCAGCTTTTGCTTTGACTTTCGCCTTGGCCTTTGCATCGGCTTTGGCTTTTGCTTTTGCAAGTGCCAGGAGGCCCTTCCTGAGACCGAACACAGTAAAAACAAACATCCGGCAGCAAGTGTTTCCAAAAAATATGTACAAATGGAAGTTTCCTAAAATGGTTCCCCCAAATCATTCGTTTTAATAGGATTGTCCATTAAAAACCTTCCATTTATGGGGTACACAATTTTGGGAAACCCGCAAATAATTATGCAGTGTAATCTCTCACATTTGCAGCTTCAGATTCTTCTTGCCCTTGGGCACCTCTGCAGTCGCAGCAATATCCTGCAGTGGATCAAGAACTGGCAAAAACTTGTGGGAGCTGGGAGCCTGGTCCGACAAAATCGACAAATTTGCACATGAATATACACTACACCTGACAGACCTCTGATCATCTTAAGGAAACTACCGACACTATTCATTGCATTTCATTGCCACAGCAGTTGGGCCTCTTCATTAGACTCTTTCTCTGATTTCGCATCACTGTTCTCTGGCACCTACCAGGATGCCACAGTCGGCCGTCGGCAAACGTTGCATGTGTGAAAAGCTGGGCAGTTGCAGAGTCATGATTATAGTATAGTATAGGGATATTAATATATATATATATACTATATTATATAACATACATATATAATAAATTACATATATATATATAATTATAAATGTATATACGAGTCATGGTATTGTACATAAGGGTATGACCCAATAATAGGATCCACTGGTTTCAAATTCACTCGGTGATTTCCGGATATTTCCGGCGCAGCGATTCTCCGGAGAACCTCGGCCGTGCTCTTCGTCCGCGTGGAACGCCGCTTCTTTGCGGGCTGCTGTGGCCTCAAAAGCCCGCATGGCCAAGCAGCTTGCCAAGGAGGTGATATGTTTTTTGTGTAACAAATATGTGTATGTGCATCTGTAATATACTCAATACTGATACATAATTTTAGATGTTACTATATAATGTTATCATATATGTTATACATAGATATAGATATAGTGCCTATATAAATGTTGATCAAACATGATTGAACCCGGCTCAGTGCCCAGCTCTTCGTCGCCTGCAGAATCCTCTCGACTCCTGGGCGCAAATCGCAGGATGTGAAGCGATTCCACGGTTGGGGGATGAGGAATCCAAACGTTTGTAGATTGTTAAAGGTGAACCTGCTAATAAATATGCTAACATATGCTAACCTCTTATACTTGTATATGATACGTTAGTATATGTGAAAAATCTTCGATTTCAAAAAGACGCAAAAGGGTCATAGGAAAGCCTTGATGGAGAAGTCTTACCTCCATCATATTGAACGAGTCCGAAATTGCAGAAATGCCAAGCTCACCATGCAGCGAAACATGCGTTGCTCCCTAAGCAGTTAGGAAACAACTTTCCCGTGGTCAAATCCAACCGCAGCACCGGCAGCACCTGCCTCAAACTACGCTGAAGTTGTTGATACGCTGGTCTATGTTGGTCTGAAATGTCCAAATAGGTGTTCTTTGAAGAACAAATAGCATTAATCAATGTGGACATGCCTTTTTTGTCAACTTATATAATTGTATATTTCGTTCCAGTTAGAAATAACTTATACAATTGTATATTTCGTTCCAGTTAGAAACTGAAAGTGCCGCACCTCTAAACATTCACTGTTAAAGAATCATTTAAGCTGCCGCTTGTGTTGAAACTGAGTGACTCAAGGCAGCACTGCTTCAACATGCTTCACCCCCCCGCCGATCGACCAAGGATCTGCTGATTTTTCTTGGTCTTCTTGTTCTTCTTGGCCTCTACAAGTATAGCAAGCAATGAAACAAGCAGAAAACAATGACATATAATATCATTTAATGACATCTCTCCAGCCTCTCCGTTGCTCTCCTCCGTTGGTGGCTGCCTGCAACTTCCGAAACAAATTTAATATGGCAACTCCAAAGAAATGTTTGGCAAACCCATGCTTCAAAGTCACGACAAAATGAAGACATGATGAATGTAAGTAACAAGACTTAGGTTGCACCATATCGCCCACCAAAATGCAAAGGTGTACCCGGACCCTGGGCTAACCAGCACACATGCATCGCGATCATCGCATGTGCGAATTGAAAATGATGACTTGGCTTTACTCAATTCTTGCATCTATTGACATCTGTTCAACTGATGGAGGATTCCAGGACTATCAAAGACTCCAGCGGCCTTCATCGATGAGCAGAGATGAGACAAAATTCGGCAGCATGCTCCATTCCAAGGACCATGGGTCACGTGTTCCACTAGCGTGATCTCCAATTTGTTCAGGTTCAAACTAACCCGACGTTCAACTTCCCCATATGGGACCCAAATGAATAGATCCAGCGCACAATGACCACTTCCAACCGAGCTACTTTCTGGTCTTGGTGACTGCAAGTGGTGGGTTGTTCACAAACCTTCGATGCTTGCTGCTTGACGAATTCGAAGCTATTGCATGCTAATTGCATCAAGAAGCTGTCATGCATGGCACCAACTAGACTGAGGAAGCATGATATTGATATAATTTATGAACATTGTACAAGTATATAGTTTATATACACAACTTGTTTTATACATCTAATATATGATATAGTTAGGATAGGCCTTGCCCATCTTCCAACTCACCAAGCCCAAAACATTTTAAATCCACCTACCATCTCATCATCAACAAAACCATAGGGGGGGATACACACTTTCCAAATTCCAATCAAAAAATGGTCAAAATCATCTTTTCAACGAGACCCCCAAAAGCCAATAGAGATGGATAAGGTGGCATAAACTATGATTTCGGGGAATGGATACATAAGAATGGGAAGATGGGCAAGGCCATGAATCACGGCCCTCTGCAACAAAGAGCGCAGGAGAAATTCCAACACATTGCCGGCCAACAAGACTGAAGCAATTTTTCTTGCGAACTGTGCTGGGTGAAACGGGTGAAACAGTGCCAAGTTTCCAAGTTTCATACACGAGACAATTTCCACGCTAAGGGCTCTGCCGCCAAATGTTCCACCTCTGTATCGCTCAACTCTTGTGAGTCGCTCATGTGGTCCTGTTCTCTACGATTTGGTAGAGAGCCTAAATGCTTGTGTTTGAGAAGCCGACATGCCCGCACTCTAAGATTGAAGAAATGCACTACTCCTGCCACGCTCACTTTCATGTACTTGGGTGTGTTGGCATCATCAAGCCAATCGGGCGCATGTCTAAAAGAAACCTTCACATCAGCCAAGTTTGCCACCTTCTGCACTTCATCACTGATAGTGCTTTTGGTGATGACATCGTATTTGGCAGTCTTCTCTGTGCTACCATGTCCTTTCAAAGTCAGTTTTGTAGCCTCGGTGTAGTTGAACTCGCGGTTCTGCAAGTCCTCCACCGCCTCCCTCAAGTCATTCTGACACTGGCTGTAGGTGATGATAAGCCCGTCTCCAATCTTGAACCTACCCTCGCCATCCGTTTTCCCGCCGTATTTAGTGCAAACAGTCCCCACGAAGGACTGCACTGTCTCACGCGCATCTGCCCCACGAGCCAAAAATGTAGGCGTCGAAGGGGTGCTCACAGAGCATTTCGTCCGGTGGTTGCACTTCAACGGGCAACTTCATGTTGGGCAAGAAAGCAATCATGTTGGTCTTCTCGTCCTCCTCTTCGTTATTTGCATCATACATGTCGTGCAGTGTCTGAAGCAAGTGCCAACAGTTCGACTTGTCGCTCACATAATCTGACCATGCGGAAACGTGCTCCCCATAAGTCTCCTTCATGGCATCCAGCCACAACGGTTGCAAATTCACAGAGCCTGGAATTCCAGCATGTGCTCCATGGCAATTCTTTACGATCACACCACCCAAGGGTTTCTCCCTTGAAGCACTGTAGGCACTTGGGGCAAATTCGCTTCGCCCAAAACCATATCAGACAGACCATGCCCATCTTCCAACTCCTGTATCTATCCCCCGAAATCATAGTTTATTGCCACCTTATCCATCTCTATTGGCTTTTGGGGGTCTTGTTGAAAAGATGATTTTGACCATTTTTTGATTGGAATTTGGAAAGTGTGTATCCCCCCTATGGTTTTGTTGATGATGAGATGGTAGGTGGATTTAAAATGTTTTGGGTTTGATGAGTTGGAAGATGGGCAAGGCCTATCCTAACTGATATATACTTTATTATACTGTATGTTATATATTGTATCATATAAGGCTCAAGAAATGCAAAATAAATCAAAATAAATGACTAAGTTCAAATCCATCAATCCCACTGTAGCTATACTACTATACGTACAAATGTGTGATTGTGCACGGATTAATTTGCATGTATGCTCATGCATATTCCGAAGATATCTCCAAAGATTTGGGACAAGCCGCTATCACCATACCTCTGTAAGTTCAACCCACATTGGCAACTAGGAACATCATGGAACATCTAGTAACTAGATGTAACGAATGAATACAAATGATGTAACGCCCACACGATTTGGATAGCTGAGCATCTCTTCTGCTTCTTCACGGGTGGCAAAGCTGCGGTACACAACCTGAGGCGTCCATGGGGGCCACGATTTTAAGTTCGGCGGTGCGTCCCCGATGGTCTCCGTGCCAAATTCTGCGCCAGGGAACCCCTTTGACACCGTGTACATACTGCTTACATTCTTCCCACGAGGTGCAAATGCGCTTTTGGGGCTTGGCCACCTTGGTGTGACACTGAAACAGTCGAAAGATGTCGGCTGCATGGTGCTGAAAGGCTTTCCACCTGGCAGTAGCCTGAAGAGTTATTCCAAGTTGATTCACCCATTTGGGTTTGTCCGAAAAAAGGGTGCCCATGGGTGACCAAGAATTAAGTGGTTGATTATCTGTTTCCCATGGAAAAAAATACATTTTTGATCATTTTTGGAGGGCAACCGTCCCAGTTTTGGACGACGCCGTTTTCTGGGCTTTGGACACCATAAAACTTTTGTTTCTTCTCCTGTTGGCCCACTCGATCCTTTAAGGAACGCGTGGCGAGAACTTCCACGAGTTCCATCTCCTTGGCAGGTTGCCACATTTGGAAAGTGACATGGTTTTGAGGATGCCAACAGTTCCATACAGTTCCATACAGTTCCAAGTGCTGCGACAAGTTTCATCGTTGTACTCGTAGGCTGGGCCATCAGCTAGGCAAACCCTCTCCTTCTCCTAGCTCTGCCCAGGTTGATGGCTAGCTGGCTGCTATAGGATGCCATCGGTAACCCCCAAATTAAGCAATCAACTGCCGTGTATCAATTCAGACTCCAAATTGCACACCTTTCTGCTTCCAGGAGTCTGTGACCCATTGGGCAAATCGCTTCATCATCCTTTCACCCTCCTTCCAAGGGGATTCCTCCTCCGACCTGACCATGCTGACCATGTGGTTATGCAGCTAATCTGTTGCAGGACATTAGTAAAACACAACACTCCACATATCCAAAGCTCACAAGTTGCAGCCACGGGTCCCCTCTTTAACTTGCTGCTTGAAAGTGGTCATGACCCACATGCAGTACCTTAGGCGTGCATAGGGCAGCAAATCCAGTGACATGTGTTCAGAGAACTTCCGGTCTGTATGTCTTTAATCCTCAATGGCAAGTGCGATGGATTGCAAACTGGTGGTGTCCTTCATGTCGGTTTGTCATGGGTGTCCCAAACTCATGGACTCCTGGGTAATCATCCATTTCAATGGATTGATTTAAGGGAAAATTTACAGGAAAACCCCATATTTAATGGGGAAATCCATGGTTTCCTGCAAATTGTCCCTTAAACCAATCCATTAATTGATCCATGAAAAATTGCCAGAAATCTGGCTGTTCCCCGTTGGAACCGCCCAGTCGTCATCGTTGAGGCATGTGCTGTGGCTCATTGATCCATGCCTCTTCGTAGGTCATGCCACCGTGCCTCACTGGCAAAGATGCCCAGGATCATATAAGTCATCATTGATCAAGTTGATTCCAGCTCTAAACTGCATATAAACACACATATATATATATATACACACATATATATATATATTTAAACAAATCAAATTCAAATCAACCAACTCTTCGGAATTCTTCCCTCCATCTTCGCCTCCGGCGACATCGCCCCGCCATCTCCGAGCCCCGGGCTTTCCAAATCCCACAGCATCACCGGGAGCCGCTGCCAGGACCTGGCCCTGCTCGCCGGGCCCAGCAAGTTCTGTAGCTTCCATTGCTTCGCCTACAAAGATCTCCAAAGGGATCATGATTATGATTAGTTAAGATTAGGTTAGGTAAGGTATGGTAAGATTAGTTATGATTAGTTTTGATTACGTAGTTCTGATTGATTATCCATGAGCAATTGGATCAATTGGTTGGGATCAGAGGCAGGTCTACATCGATGACAAGAGTCACTTAAGTCTGGATATCGAATTTTCGCACAAAGAACATATCTGAGGTCAGATCTGTGTAAAAATATTGGCAATAAATGGCAATAAATAGCGCAAAACATGCAGCATCATACAGCCAAAGACTGCAACCAAGCTGCTTACGGGAGGGATCTGCGCTGCCTCTGGACATGGAAAAAATAGCCCCTCCCAGTGCCGATCTTGATCAACCATACCAATGCATAGCCCTGCATCCACATGAGCCTCACACTGACCTTTTCAAATCCTTCCACTATCTACTGAGAATTTCAGTGCAGCACGCCTCCATGGATCGGTGTCTGCTGCAACCGACTTGCTCCCAAATGGCTACAGTACAAGTAGTACAAGTATCACAGTTATCACAGTGTCAAGACTCGCCAGGGATCTGCATATGCCAACATCTTGCCAACTACATCCACCAGCTTACCATCGTCACCTGGCTATCCTCCAGGATGAAAGTTGCCACTCAAGACATCCTCCTACCAGCTGCAGTCTCGCCTCTCATCCTTGGAGCTTCAACGGCTCACCATCTTCAGTCTGCTGATAGACTGTGACATTGCTCCTGGAAAGGCTAGTTTGCTGCAAATAGATGGGGGCTTCCTAAAATATGGGTACCTTAAACTTAAATCTTAAAATCATCCGTGTTCGCATTGACAAAACCCATTTTGGATGATTTTGGGTTCCCCCAACCGTTAGGAACCCCCCATGATCACATGCTATCTACGAAAGGATCTTCCCCTTGGCCAACAACCGCTGATTGCTGCGGCCGAAGGGCGCATCACGTTGCGGCTGAATATTGACCTGAGATCATCGGCACTGCAATTGGCCCTGAAACTGTTGTAGATATTTATAGATAGCTTTTTTGGGTGAATTTTGAATCCGCCTGAGATGCGACTAGATGTGCCTTGTCTGGGCCTGATGAATGACCCCAAGTGCTCAGAAATGTCTGAGAGCAAGACGAAACAATTCATGCCATACTTGATGCCAGCCAGAACCGGCTTTGCCTGTAGAATCGAAGTTTTGATCACCGCAAGGGCATGCAATATCTTCAGAGAGCATGAAAATACAAGGGCAAGAGTTGGCTTTGTCCAAGAATAGGATATGCATGCCATTTACACTTCTACATGATCAAAAATTGCAATTTTCCTAGGGAAGATGATGATCAGCCATCCAAAAATTTTCGGAGCACCCTATGTCATACCCTATGTTTAATCTGGCGCCAGCTTAAGCCAGCTGTCACAGCACACCTCATGTTTGAGTCGCATGTCTCCTTCTCCACCAACAGTGCGGTTGTGCCACATCCTCAGCTCAGGGATATCCTGCCATGGTAGCAGCTGCTTGAAACCACTGGCCAGTTACATCCCCAGGATCGTATGAATCCAAATCTGTTCGTTGAATCGTATTAAATCAGAATTAAATCATGAATGTTGGAGAGAGCTCAGGAATAATCCATGGTCTGTGTAAGACTCTGCACAACTTTTGGTGTAACGAAGTCCCAAGGTCCCGTCTGCCCATGCCGACAAGTCTCACAGCAGTATGCTTCGCTGGTCGGACCTTCACAGCCAGCAGGCGCTAGCGACTCAGCGCGAAATTGATGCCTTAAGCGATCATACTATGATTGTGAAGTGTATCATACGCCCCAATTGCTCCTGTAAATGGGTCATTCAGATTCAACAAGCAGAGAGTTCCATTCATCATTCACGGATGATTGTTGTCCCCGTCTGACCATTCATTGATACGTCATGCAATAGTGAGAAAATCATAATGTCTATGACAGTTTGTGAGTATGAGTCACAGTAGGACTGTGTATAAATCTTCGATATGTATATCGTATGCACCAGTTCATATATGCTTTACGCTGTTATAATCCCACTATTTACGGTGTTTCACAGAAATCGCAATGGTTACCAACTGGCAAAGTAATTTCTTCCATCCACAGTATGTATATCTATCTATCTATCCATCCATGCATCCATCTATCATTGACTACTGGCATATATATATATATAATACTATATATTATATTATACTTTAAACTCAGCAACAATTAGGCCATCCCGGCGCGGGCGCCTGGAATCCCAAATGCGGGAAGGAGGTCTCCCCGCCCGAGCCCGGCTCCAAGCCTCGAGGGTGGTTTCACATTACGAAACATCGACGATCAGATACGGAAATGATACGGAAAATAGTCTCTACTGTACCATGGGGAAAAACATGGGAAAATAGTAGATGTTGTAGAACATTATGGTCCATAATTTATGGAACTATAAAATAGATTAAAACAGTATCCACTGATATCCACCGTATCTACCATATTACCAACTATATTGATTCTATTTTATGTTAAATAAAACTGACTTAAATTGATGTATAAACAGCTTGAGAATAAGGAAACACATAGACACTATAGCTATTATTAGCTATTTATGATTTCTATTGATATTTCTGTGGCCCACGAATGGCTGCGGAAGTTCATCCATGAAAAATCCCACTGCACATTTTTGCGGGTTGCCAAAGTGGGATTGCTATGATATGATCATCCCAGGTTTCTCCATCGCCTTGTTTAGGAATAGATTTCTATGGACTTCTATGGATTTCTATGGATTTCTATGGATGTCTATGGATTTCTATGGATGTCTATGGATTTCTATGGATGTCTATGGATTTCTATGGATGTCTATGGATTTCTATGGACTTCTATGGATTTCTATGGATGTCTATGGATTTCTATGGATGTCTATGGATTTCTATGGATGTCTATGGATTTCTATGGATGTCTATGGATTTCTATGGATTTCTATGGATTTCTATGGATGTCTATGGATTTCTATGGATGTCTATGGATTTCTATGGATGTCTATGGATTTCTATGGATGTCTATGGATTTCTATGGATGTCTATGGATTTCTATGGATGTCTATGGATTTCTATGGATGTCTATGGATTTCTATGGATTTCTATGGATTTCTATGGATGTCTATGGATTTCTATGGATGTCTATGGATTTCTATGGATGTCTATGGATTTCTATGGATGTCTATGGATTTCTATGGATGTCTATGGATTTCTATGGATTTCTATGGATTTCTATGGATGTCTATGGATTTCTATGGATGTCTATGGATTTCTATGGATGTCTATGGATTTCTATGGATGTCTATGGATTTCTATGGATTCTATGGATTTCTATGGATGTCTATGGATTTCTATGGATGTCTATGGATTTCTATGGATGTCTATGGATTTCTATGGATGTCTATGGATTTCTATGGATGTCTATGGATTTCTCTTTAAAGGTGTTTAAACATGTGTAAGTCTTGACGAAACCACCACATGCCGCTTCAGCTTTTGACCGCCGCTTCACTGTGCTGCATCTTCCAGCCAGCGCTAGCGACACATGGAATCCACGACACGATTGGCCAAGTCAGTGGGGATCCCCACAGTGGATCATGCCATTCCATGCCATTCCATGCCATTCCATGCCATTCCATGCCATTCCCCTATATATTGAGTATTCTATGTATAATACTAGATATATTGAGCAACTATGAGTAACTCTAGTATTCTATTCTAATCATATCTAATCATATCTAATCATAAACTTTTTTGGCGTTTTTGAAACCTGCTCATCTACTACGCTTAGTCATGGAAGTCCAACTGATTCTCACTGTCCAGATTGACCAGGTCTTCTGATGGCAATTTCCTACGATGAAACACGGCCATCAAACAGGATTCCGTGGAAAGATCCGAAGATCCTGAAGCCCGCAGCACGTGAGGAACCTGTCTAAGCGAGCGCCCAAAAAATCAAGCTCCTCAACAGCTGCAGCTAGACTGCTGACAGGATCGACATGGATTGATCACCCCTTGTTTGTTCATGTTATTTCATGTTTGTGTTTTTATTTTAATACCGCACCGTCATATTGATCCATGATCTTGAAGTTTTGGGAGCGGCAACACTTCTAATCAAAGCAACAAGTCCGCCCCACGTCAAACTGTGGAGCACGGGGTGATTCTTGCGTTGCAGGCGCCAATCCGGCCCTACAAACTGTACAGTCTAATCAGTTTGAAATCAAATGGTGGAATTCCACGACATGAAGCCGTGAAGCCCATTGGCGCAGGCCAGAGCTCAAAAGATTCCAAGTAGCTACCCCAAGTCCACTGGATCATCATGGATCATCATCGTTTTCCAAGAGAAAGCCAATGTGGGGCGAATACCCCGTTTTCAGACTCACCCATATGCTGTTCAAAGATGTTCAAAGTCTTGATGACGGTTAGGTGACAAAACATCTGACCAAGCAGGGCGTTGAACGAAAAAATATCACCATTGATACCATTGCTCCTGCAGTCAGGGTTGACAGAAGTCCCATTTGGATCCATTTCGTGGATTGTAAGCATCCCCAAGCAAATTTGTGGTTGAACAGTGTCTCTTTTTTCTATATCTATGTCTAATCACTATCAAATATCTATCTATCTATCTATCTGTCTGTCTATCTATCTATCTATCTACCTACCTACCTACCTAGCTATCTATCTATCTATCTATCTATCTATCTATCTATCTATCTATCTATCTATCTATCTATCTATCTATCTATCTACATCATTCTATCTCCATTCTATTCAAGTATATATCCCACATGATAAACACATTTTTTTTGTTGCTATTTTTTCCATCGTTATTCCCTGGGACTCGAGCGTCACGTGCAGCAGCTCAGCAACTCTTGGTGCGAGTGATGGCTGGGGCTCCATCCATGTCATCCACCTCGATGAAGGTGTTGTGCACCTGCCAGGGGGAGACGAAGATCTGGATG